CACCAACTTCCGAGCTTGTGATCGAAGCCAACTGCTCCTGGCAAAGGCAGCTGGAATAACAATAGTCACTAGTCAGTCGGGCAGTCAGTTAGTCTCAGTTTGAGTCATGAGTCATGAGTAAGTTGCTTCAATCAAATCTGATACATCAAAAATCGCAAATGATTTCTCACAAAAGAAAGTAAGCCAGCCGGGTTGTCTGTTCCATCCCACATCCACATGCAAACTGTCATGTAGTTTTCCGGCATGTCCAGCAATTCTTGCGAGATTGCCGACACATTGTCGACCTCAAACTCAAAGTCGAATGTCCCGTCACGAACCCGTATTCAAACCGGCGGTATCCTAGCCAAGAGTCCCGGTAGTCAAACCATTCTTTTTGTTTTGTCAAACAAATTGTCGCCACGTTAAATTTGCTGCCGCGTAGAAATCTGTGGTCGAAGTTGTCCTGGGCTGACCGTAAACCGTAAACCCGAATTTGATCCTCGCACCTCACAGCCAACAAACACTCAACATTTCACTTTTCCCAGATAGCGAGAGCTATTAGCTTATGGGGTTTCTCTTTTCAAGTTTTGGAAAAGGTGGCCTATGCTGGCCCAATGCAAACTGAAATCATCAAAATTGAAAAAACACATCGGGATCATCGGGCTGCTCCCAATTGGGCAGTCAGGCTCGCTGCAGCATCCGACATCATCCCACAGCTCTTTGCCAAACCAGCAACCGCACCGATAAGGTGCGAAGCTATTTTTGAAACATGGGCCGCAGCCACCCGTCCTGGTAGCCATGCACTGGCCACCTGAAGCTGGTCATCGATCGCTCTGGAAGATGACGAGGCTGTCGAACTGCTTCGAGCGGTTGGTCTGCTCAAATGCCGAGCTCTTTTGCACGCTCTAGCCAAAACTATGCCAGAAGAGCAAGACTGCTGTCCTTCGACCACGGAGACGGACCGACGTAGAGTTGTTTGGGTGAAGGATCGGTCGGACTGGCCGCCGGCCATGAAAACGAAAAGGTTAAGTTTTCATTCACTTTCTGGGCAAAAGAAAAATTGGATCAGCAGTTCCAAAGGGCTGCCTATTGCAGGATCCACACTTAGACACTAAACGCCACCCCTTTTCTGACTTCTAGTAGCAGTCTAGTGGCTACGCAGAATTGGCCTGTTGGGAGCCACCCAGTCCAACGGATCTTCTCCAGCCATGGCAACACTGGCGTCACGAGTCTCTCACAGTGCCAGTGGTATTCTGAACTTTCTCTGGTGCACTCTTTGACTATTGCTAAGGCATACAACAATACAATACAACTACCCCAAAGCTTTTAACTTCTCTCACATTGCCGTTGCACTCCTTTGCTGCCTGGCCGGTGCACTTCTTGAGGTGAAACAGGCTTTCCGAGCTCTAGCATACAACCCATTTGTTTTGGGTGTTTTTTAGCTGTTTTGGTGAAAAGCACACGTTTTAGCGTGATTTGTGATATCGGAAACCGATCGGTTTTCGTAATCGCAGAAAGCATCCAAAAACAGACCATTCCTGCTTTCTGGAAAAGCCCATGCTTTTGATGTTTTCCATGGAATGCAAACTTTACCTATACTTTTACAGAGAGGGTCCTCACCGGCCCAAAACGCCAAACCTAACTCATGTGGGGGTTATTGATGGGAATTTCCCTTTGGAACATCACCATATGATATTCGCTGCATAGCGCTTGCTCCGTTGGAGGATCACCGGCGAGAAGTTCCAGCTGGTGATGGCCAAAGACAACCGAGTCAGCTGCTGAGTGGGATGAGAAGATGATGAGAAGTGCTTCCTTTAATGCTATGGCATTGTAATCACGAAAGCTAGCGAAGCTAGCTGGAGTTACTCTTGCGATAGCAAGGTTTCTTTCGACCGGGTGCAAATCCTAACCCCTGATTTTTCAGGTCGAAGACCCCCCCCCCCTCCGCCCCTCTCCCCTCCTCCCCTCTCCCCTCTCCCCACCCCACCTCCCCTCTCCTCCTCCTTGTCTTCCTCCCACCTTCCCTCCCTCCCTCCCTCCTCCCTCTTCGCACGTTCGACTCCGTCCTGTCGTCGCTCTTTGGCATGCGGTTAGCGTTGCGTATCTTGCGGCCGCACTCGCTCACTCTCACTGTCTCACTGTCTCACTGTCTCACTGTCTCTCTCTCTCTCTCATCTCTCTCATCTCTCTCATCTCTCTCATCTCTTTCTCATCTCTCTCATCTCTCTCTCCTCTCTCTCTCTCTCTCTCCTCTCTGTCTCTCGTCTTTCCGTCTCTCTTCTCTCTCTTCTCTCGCAGGAGGATCCGGGCAAAGAGCCACATATAAAGGACTCTTCACCCCTGCCTCCAAAAAGAGCGCCGTGTTTTTTTCCTGCCTCGCTGCCCTCCACTTTCCCATTCTGGAGCGCTAGCTTTCGCCCCCCCCCTTGGCCTCAAGTCGGTTTGCCCGTGGTAACACACATGAGCTGACCACGTCCCGACATGGGAGGTACTGCCAATCCATTGATGGACTTGATGACGTATGGACTCGGGGCAAATGACATGGAATCATCAAGTACTTAGGAGAATCACAGCTCGTTTTGCTGTTTGTTTTCTGAGAAGACACTCAAGAAACATATAATTGTCAACATGTCTCCAAACAGTTTCCTGGTCATGTGTCCGGCCCGGGCCTTGTCCTTTTGTTCGTCCTTCGTCCTCCAAAATGGTCGTTCGTATTCCGCAGTGTTATGGAAGCCTGTGTCCACAGCCGGAAGCCTGTGCCCCAACTCCTCTTGTCCTCCGTTGTTCGGGGTGTTGTCCTCTGTGTCCGCACCTGTCAATGCTTTGTCGGGGTCTGGTACAGCTCAGTGACGGTGACAGGAACCATGACACAACAATTAACATCTTCAGCCGCTTCAGTCACCATCCAACCAAGCCAAGAGTTTGGCGCACATGCATCCAAAGTGCAAGAGGTGGTTTCTACACACATAGAGGGGATGCACAGTGGGGTGCCAAGTACCATAGTTCTCCTATAGTTCTCAAGTAGGTTGGAGGTCATCGCTAGTAAGTTTCGGAGTGAGATGGAGTGAGTTACGCTGAGCGCGAGCGCAGTGGATCCGCAGGTTCTCATCACCTTTCCACCAAAAGAGGCGGAAGAGACAGAGGATGGAAAGGAGAATGGCGAGGTGGTGAAAAGGAGAGATCTGGACGGACAATTTCAGCGATGTTTGAGCTATCAGTAGCCATGGCGGGGCTATCAGCGCAAGTATGCGCAAGTGAATTTCCAGATTTTCCATCAGGTTTGTCTAAGGAATCTGGTACATGTGGGATGGCCAGGAATGGCCGCCAGGTAATTAAAAGTTATGCAAATTCCGCATTTCATTTGAGCCAAGTAGAGTGTGGAGTCGAGTAGGTGAAGATGGTCCAGATCTTATTTTTGCAAACAGGGAGCATGAAAAGGTGGTCTCGAAGTCAAAGCATGTCAAAACCGCTTGAGTTTACCCAAATCAGAAGTCATGAAGGTTCTTTGTCATGGGTGTCTTCGGTTGTTGAAACTGCTTTCGACCGGTCACCCACCTTGTAGAATTGTAGAACCTCCACTTGCAGGGCTGTGCTGGCTTTGTCACCGCGATGGCGCGAGGAGCAAGACCAATCCCTTCGCAAACATTCAAGCCGCTGCTTGGCTGTTCGCTGGGGTTATGTTCTGAAGAGTTTAACAAAAGGCAATTGAACGTAGACACTGTAATTGTATATTGAATTTGTGGTTGATGCATGTTGAACTTTAGTTGGATAGATGCGTATTCTAACAAGGGCTCAAGCGGAAAAAACACACTCAATTTCATGGTTGTTTGTTGTTTGATTTAGTTGCTTTGTGTTTGCATTATCTGTGACAGTCACCTTGTGCTCAGTGCTTCCGATGAATGCACTTGTGATGCAGTCTCCACTTGAGCGGCTCTTCAACAGCAATTCCAACGTTCCACAATCTTTCAGGCTGGCTCAAACAGTCATGGTCACGTTCCGATCAACCGATTATGTTGGCCAAAGACACATCATGATAGGAAACAAGAAGCTAGTAGTAACAAGTGCATCGCTACTAGGAGCAAGTGCCTTACTAGTAGTAACAAGAAGCTACTTATTACATTTTTGGGTCGGTTTGAATCCAACCCGTCCAGCCAAGGATGTGTGCAGCGCTTTAGGGCAGGTGCGCTGGGCGCTCCGCACAACCATTCCTGTGGGGCAGACCTGGCTTAGGGGGCTGAAGAGTTTGCAATGACATGAGAGCAGCGATGTGGTTTTGCCCAGGTGGAATGTCTACAATGACCAGAACTCAACTACTTTGCTTCTAAAATGCTAGTTACTGTAGATTCCCTCGTCCATGGGTGCGTTTGAACATGAGGGCAATCAGGGCAATCACAGGTAATCACTCTCAGCAACATGTATTCAAAAGAGACCCTTGCCCCTCTTGGCAGCCGCGGTGGCCCATTGGTGGCCTTTGATGACACTTCTTGAGGCCCTCCTAGTCATGTAAGTGTAATTACCTCCTAGTCTGGTGGCCACCCTTCTAGTCTTGAGGCCCTTCTTATTTTTCTTTTTTTTTGCCTTCGACTTCTCCAGGAAGATGGGCTGCTGAAGGATATCGCCGTGGGCGCGCACTACATCGACCTCTTCGGTGCCTCGGGGCGCGCTTACTCTGCGCCGGGGCACAGCCCTCGTCGGACTTGAACGGATAGACGGGCAGAGACAGGATCCATGAGCAAAAGCATATCAAAGGAATGCTATAGTGGGACAACAGTGGGACAAGATTTGCTCTTCTTGAGGTTTGAAGGGCATTGAACGGCATAGCCCCAGAACCCCGCCGACCTTCCTCGAAAAGGGCGATTGAGGAGGACCATTGCCCATTCGATGCTATGAGGTCAAGTAAGAGACATCAACTTTCTTATACGCAGACACACAATAAACCTTGAATATGGATGGTAAATACAGACAGTCCAAGACCAATGACTTGAAACTATAGTCATAGGTTGATAATATTCCTTTTTGCTGTTTACAAACTATAGATCTTTCCTCGCCCAAATGCTCTAGGGTGTGCCATGGCGGAGCCTGAGCAACGTGAGCCATGGCTTCCTCCAGGCGAGATGCCTTTGGTTCACGAGGCTCAGGCCTTCCGCTTATGTTTGCGTCAATGCCTTCCACTGGAGCTGCATCCCGGACACTGGTTCCCTGTCTCCGTGGGCTGTCGGAATGAGTTTGGGCTTTGGAAACGTGACATGGACTTCGAGCCAGTGGCTCTTCAGCTCACGCTTCTAAGTCTGGCGGGGCAGGATCTGGACTTGTGCATTGAGACCGAAGGGTGTTTGGAGATGGACAGCTCTGGAAAGTTGGATTTTGCTGCTCGGGTGCTGTCAGATCATGTCGAAACTAGTGCCATTCTGCTGCGTATTTCAGCCGTTTCAGCCACACATCCCCTTTTGCCGGTTCTGTCACCACCTTTGATCTTGGGCTGTCGCTCTGGTGAGGATCCCCTTCCGCGTCCTGGAACCTTAACTCTGGAACAATGCCGTTTGATTCGCGTGCCGGGCACCAGCAGCAGTTTGCTTCTTGCCGAATGCGCTGGTGACTTGGGCATCGGTGGACGGGTTTGGGATGGAGGTTTGGTTTTGCTGGAATATTTGGCTTCGCTGCCAGGGCTTGGCCACTGCCTAGAACTAGGGAGTGGAACAGGCCTTGTGGGCTTGGGCTGTGCCCTACTGGGCGCCCAAGTTTGCTTGACAGACTTGAAGGAGGTGACTCCATTGCTCGAGTTGAATGTGGCCCTAAACCGATGTCGTGGCTTGCAATTGAATGCCAAGGTTGAGACCTTGGAGTGGGGCACGGACCTCTCTGATTTTGAGTGGCTTTCTGCAGACTTGGTCATCATGGCAGATGTGGTCTACGACGTAGAGGCCTCGCGGCAGTTGATGATGACACTGACAGCTTTGGCAGCTTCCGAATCATCTTCGCGTTTCATCATGGCCTTCCGTCCTCGAAATGTGGAGAAAGACTTCTTTCGAGAGTTGAGCAAGGAGTTCCAACTCACTGTGCTAGAAGGCTCTGGACCATATGCTAAGATGTGCCATGACCTTCAAATCTTGCAACTGACAGCTGCGCCTAAAAGCGAGACAAACATTCAATATCATTCAATCAGGGGCTCGAAGGGTTCTCGAGATCAATTTTGTGGGATTCTCATTAGACTCATGCACATTCACCTTTTTGGACTCCCATGTGTGTTGATCTCAGTTCACTGCTGAGTGCTTTCGGTTTTATGTCCAAGGAAGTGCCTCGCATACCTGTACTCAACTTGTTTGGGGTATAGCCGGATGTAGCCCAAGCTTGATGAACAACAGTAAACCCTGCTGTTTCTGAGATACTTGCAGATGTACAGGCTGCAGTAGCGTAAGGATGCCTACTAAGCCTGGATACCTCATCTATTGCCATGCGGATGTTCATTGGTTTTCAGGGGTGTGCAGGACGTGTCCAGTCCTGGTTTTTTGTCAATGCCACTGGGGCATTACCTTTGAATATGAATACATAATAATACATTCATATATATATATATGCGGTATATATATATAATTATAATGATATATAGAAGTATATATTGAAATATGAGGAATCCTTGTCCTTGGACCTTTGAGGTGCTGGACGATGGAAATTTCCCGTGAACATGCTGAGTGCAGCGAAGAAGGAGCAGGAGTGAACAGGACAATGGTCGGCAATCGTTACAGGCGGAAGTTTGCTCCAAGAAATTGAAATTGGTTCTGGGCCAACCATGGTTGCACTGGATATAAGTCTTTATAAATCAGAGTAAATCTGTTCAGTTTACAGAGGTACCAGTATATATCTATCTCTCCCTTTCTCTCTATATTTGGTATGTACTTTTTCCTGTGTGAGTCAACCCACCAGCTAACCCATGGTAACCCACCAGGTGGTAAGCGCATCCAAGAACCCCCGTCGTTCACAGGCGTTCACATGTATTAAGGGTACTCTCCACCATTCTTAGATCTGGAAGATCCCATTCGTTGCCGAGCCCTTGTCCCAGCCTCAACCTTCTCCATTTTCTGCTCGCCATGTCAGGAGGAGAAGCGGAAGGCAGATGCCGAAGCCAAGCGCTTGGCACAAGAGGCGGAAGCCAAACGAAAGGCGGAGGCGAAGGCAGTGCGGAGCGATTTCGTCAGTCAGAGCACTGGGGCAAGACTGCTGGGTGGTGGTGGAGTTGGACGTCTTTGGTGAGCACTTCTGGGTTTCGGCCATCTAGAAAAACATTGAAAAAACACTCACCCCAGATCATTCTCGTAAACATTTTAACATCTTAAGACAACTTTCTGCTTTACTGGTCTGGGATCACTCATCCGACTCATCCCCAACCTGCATCCCTGCAGGTGGCTGCCCAGAAGGCCCGCAAGGCTGAGGCGGAGGCGCGCCGCGCAGAGGCCGCCAGGCTCAAGGCGGAGGCGGCGGCGGCAGAGGCGGCCAAGGTCGGGAAGGGAGTCGCAGCCTCGCGGTCAGAATCTTCCTGTAAGGACGCTACTAGTATCTCCTGGCCTTACTACTAGTAACAAGACGCTGCTAGTAACAAAGGGCATCGCTACGAACGGAGCGTTCGGACGCTAACTATTCACCAGCTTGTTTCTATATATTTTGTGCTGTATTCAGCACCGAAGACAGCGAGATAAACGTCGTAGAGAAGTGTCATCCTTGCATATCCTTGCCCGAACAGCGGTGCAATTCCTCAGAAACTAGAAAGATTCTGAAACAGGCAGGGTAGCCGCATAACGGCAGTCAAAAAAGAAGACTTTAAACATCATTTATAAACACGTATTTGATTTGTATGTCATGTGCATCCAATTACACAATGCAATTCAAGATAACTGGTAAAGCAGCCTTTGCAAGATAGCCGCTCCTCGTTGGGGGTCTTTGGCAGATGAGAATCCGTCAGATTGCAAGATGCTCCCCGAGAAATGGCTTTTTTTTGACCAGGAGCAAGGCAGACAGTTTTTCGATCAAGAGCCAGAAGAACCACAGGAGCAGCATGGAGGGAGCGAGTTTGGCGACGGTTCCTATGAACATGCCAAGCTGGTTTTATCATTTCAATATGTGATTTCCCATAAAGTCAGAGGCACTGCTAGGAACATTGGATACAAATCGAAGAATGTGACTGTCTTGTGCATCTTGCTCACAGCTGTTAAGATGAGTCAACATCGGCGGTACAAGAGCCAATGGACTCAATAACTTGCTCGCTTGTGGCTCAAAGCACTACAACAAGGTGCTGCTTGCAGCACTTTGCGTCCACGAGTTGCACCATGTTGCATCGGCACCCGAAGCTCTCAACGGAAACTCCCTCCAAGACCTCGTAGCAATCTGCTTTGATGCAAGATATCAGGCCCGGCAAATGAGTAGCTGAGTTGCGTCAGGGCGTGCATATGTAGAAAGAAGAGCTAGTGAACTAGTTGTTTCCCCCCTGCCGTCTACGGCAAAACTTACACATATTGCAATACTGAATACAGAGTTGGAAGTGATGATTGGATGTACTCCTTCAACAAGCCCCCTCTCGTGAGGGGCAACCCCGCCAACGCCGCTCCGACGCGGTGCGTTGTTTAATTTCTGTCACGGATTTTCAGCTTGAGCCCTAAAGCGCAGCCATGGCAGATGTCGTGGAACAGGTCATGCAGGACGCAGAAACCGTGAAAGCAGCCTGTCGGCTCGGGGCGCGATGTGGTGCATACCGTTCCGTTCGATCGCGGAAGCAAGCCAGCCCAGGTCATTTTTGATCCATATAGAAAATGTCTCAAAGAGGTGCTTCTGGTCTGGGATTCTATTCACTCAACCCCCTCACAAAAGGGGTTGGTGGAGAGCGGGCAACCTTCAAACTGGGCCGGATACAATGAATACTAGCATGTTGAGATTGAGTAGTATGCTTGGGACCCCAAGCACCTACCGTCTTTTTACTGTAATTGCTTTTTACTGCTTGCCGGCAAGTAAAGCTTGGTACTGATTTCTCTAAACTTCCAGACAGTTGATTGTGAGCGGGGAGTTGTTGCCCTTTGTCAGCACCTTGCGATTGACTAGCGATTTGCTGCAAAAAATCTCAAAAGTGTAATGCTGGTCATACGGTCATACTTTCGGCTTCCGATGGCTCCCAAGGCTCAACGACTGTGACTGAGGGGACCGCCTACCATCACTACTTGACAGCAAGCTGGGAAGCTGGAGTACAACTAGAGTCTGTTGAAGTCTGATAGGTAGGAGAACGTAGGATGTAGAAACAAGAGAAACGACATGAAAGGACATGAAACAACTCCAAGTAGATGTTTTTCAACCGGCTCTAAGGGGATCAATCAGCATCAGACAGAAGTGGCAACGAGTGATGACCAGTGATTTGCCGTGAGGAGATGGTGCCTGATCTCGACGACCTGAGGAAAAAGAATATTTTCTCTGAGGAAGAGATCAGGCACTGGAATCCGGGTCTTGGGGTGGCTTCAGTCCTTAGCCTGGCAAGACTCAACATTGACTACAGACCGCTTTTGGGACTTTTGGGGTGAAGATTCTCAATAGCAAAAGGACGCTTGTAGGGTGGATGCCATCGCTACTAGGTTGGAGGCCATCTCTACTAGGTCCAGGTTTGAGGCCATCGCTAGTAGAAACAAAGAAAACAGATTCTCTTTGGTTTCGCAGTTCCGGCCGCATCCTTTTCCTCCCTTTCCCCCAGCAACGGTCTGCGACAGACCGAACTGGGCTGTGTCGGACCCTGGCCGAGTTCTTTTGGCCACGTCATGAAACGTCCAATGAAACGTCGGTGCCCAGACGAGCCATGTTTGACACGGAAGAAAGACGCCCGGATGTCGTATGCATGATGAGGGTGACTTGGGACACCTGGGGACCAGGGATAGTATTGGCAGGGCACTAGTACTCTCAGATAGATTAGTCGCATCGGTTTGCACTAAATGTTGCCATTCCTTGCGTCGAAAGGTCTTCGGGAAGTCGCATCGGTTTCATGATTCCATGCTGTTTTACAATGTTCTGAGGACATGCGATATGCAAATGATCTGGCTATTCCCGTGTTTTACGATGACTTTCACATGGGCACCTTTCTTTCAATGTTATTTCTTTTGGGGTTTTGAAGCATCTGTGGGCTAGAGCTCCTTGCTGATTTTAAAACGCCTTGTAAACAGGAAACTGATGTGACCCTGATGTGACCCGGTCGCATCGGGCCCCCCCTTGCAGATTCACAGTTTTCCAGTCACCTGATGTGACTAACATTGTTGAGAGTAGCAAGAAGCTACTAGTAGCTCCTGGCATTACTACTAGGAACAAGAAGCTAATTACTAGGGACTCCTGGCATCGCTACTAGGCCCAAGAAGCTACTAGTAACAAAGGACATCACTACTAGGAACAAGAAGCTAGTAGGTTGGAGGACCCAAGCGATCGTGACGAAACTCGCCAGGCACATTGTCCGTCGTCGACGAGACTTCGAATATTCGCTTCAGCGCCTGGGTGAATATCCTTGTCGACGACGGCGATTGGGGTCAAATCGGATTTCCCGACACTGGAGGCGTTGGTCATTGTTCCCAAACTATCCTGTCATACAATCGGATTGGCTTAGGCTTGGGTAGGTGGCTTGGGTATAAGCACTCAAGACCAAAACGAACATGTGTGAAATTGGACCAGCATCCGAAAAAGGTCCTCTCGCGTTCAATAGCGATTGTCCTCGCCTCGGGCCCAGAAGATACACCAAGTCACATCCTTTGCTGCTTTCAAAGCAACTCATTCGTTTCCCTGAATCATGGTTATTCCGGTGACAGATCATTGAAGTAACTATGTTTGGAATAGCTTGGGTAGCAAGTGCGCAGATAATGTGTTTACCCTCTGACTCGGGAGGATCCGCAGACATTCTGCACCTGACCGCGTAATAAACAATTCTGCTCGCGTTCCTGGTATTCAAGCTACATGGGCAAGAGCTGCTAGCATGGACATAATGGGAAATATGGTGGACACAAACACTCCTGGGAATTTTGAGAGGCTTTGACCTTTGTGACATAAAGAAGGTGGCTTTGTTATCTTTGTTGCCTTCTGGCATGTGTGTTTAAGGCGAAAGCCGGGAAGGCCACAGGAGCTTTGAGTTGGGGACCGGACGGCACGGGTCAGCTCGATACGCAGGGGAACACAGAATCAAACAGAAAAAAGTGAAACCCGTGCCACCTCGACAGCACTGATGTTATAGAAAAATGATTGAAAACAATTGTTTTGGATGGTTTTGGCAGCTCTCGAGAAGCAACCTGTGCCACCTGAGAAGTTTGCAACTGCTCTGTCCGAGAAGTGTTCGATAGTTTTCGTTTGCACACGTTTGCAAAAATTCAGCATCTATCCTTCCTCTCCATAGAATCTAGTTTTCAAGTCCACAAACAACTTATGCTGTCTATAGAATTCCGGTTCCTGTGTTTGATGACCAGTATATACAGTATTCTATAAAATGACTCCTTTATAGAATTAATGTTCCAGCATTTTTCAGGCAAGTGTCTTTCTATAGATTCTGTTCCCAGGTTGTTTTGGCTCTATAAAATCTGATGCCAGGTTGCCAAAGTGCTTCCTATACAATCCCTGAACACAGGTCTGGCCAATGCCAAAAAGTTATTTATGCGGACTTTTTGACTGTTCACCTTTTGATTCTATAGGGAGAAAAACTAATTAGTTTGTTTCTCTATAGAATCCCGCTGATTTCTGAACACATCCCCCTGATTTTATAGAGGATATTCCCATGGGGATTATACTATGCATCATGATACTATAGACAAAGGAGATTCGGTCTGTACAGGCTTTCGGCGGCAACGAACCTGCTTGGTAAGTCTGTGGTCCCGGGTTCTCTGTCGATTGTATGTAAACACATGCGTATGTGTACAGTGGATATGATATTGTGAGCGATTGTGAGTCTGTATTGGGGTGTTGGACAAGCTTCGACAAGTGTCATAATCACTGTGTTTGAGCTTGGATTTTATAGTATATACATGTATATACAAGAGAATCTTAAAAACATGGGAAGAGTGTCCCACGGGGGACCTGTGCCACCAGATTTTATAGAGTGGCCACTTAATTATCCAGGCATGTTGTTTTAAGGATTCTATAGTTTGTAAATATCAACTCCAACCTGGTTCTTTCTGAAATTCACACCTGGATATTATATATATACATACAGTATATTGTTTGTTGCTGGAGCCAACTGCATGCTCGGACAGCTGTGATTTGGTGTCATGAAGTGATCCTTCCTTGCTGAAAAGTCCATGAAGAGGTCATCATTTTCTCAGTGTCTAAGGAACAGCGGTAAGAGTAGGCACTAGTGGTGTGAAATCTGTACTCCTACCGCAGTCGTCTACAAGAGGATATGCAGGAGAATGTTCACCTACCATAATACATATTATACAGGGTTTGAGTATTTACATTAAGAAGATATTGAAGGAAAGCGTCCCTTGCCAGGACGTTCTGAACTATGCCGGGCACTCAGCACATTCTGATCTTGGTACCTTTGGAGGTGTATCGGCAAAATACTCAATCAATTGAATAGTCAAGACATGTCAAAACACAAGTGTATAGGTCATGGCTCGCTGTTTCAGTGCAGCTGTCGCTCTTCTCTTTGCTCAGCCCGGCGAAGCGGCCTTTTCTCGCGCGAAGCACCACGCGCGAGCGGGTCCAAGCCGCTGGCATGAGGGCGTGCAGGGCTTCATGGCTTTTGCTGCCTTTGTGCAAATCCATTTCCATTCCGTGGAGTGACTCCTGTGAGGTGCTTGGGGAAGCCGTCATGTGGATTTGTTGACAGTGCACGTGGAGCACATATTCCACTTTTCATGTTCAAAAGAGTCGTTCTCCCGATCAGTTCCTTTGCCGAACTCCCTGGCGCTTGGGTATTTGTTGAGGAGATCCACAGCCTCCACATGCTGCAGCACCACAGCCAACGGCGCAACCGTTTCTCGTCCACCTCCCCAAATCCGGATGTCCTCGTTTGGAACGAGGTTGGACAATACTACGATGGTGGCGAAGCAGAAACATGTGGGGATGGACCGGGAACAAAATGCTTGGACCATCAAACGACAGTGAGGAGGGTGAGGTGATGTCCAAAGGTTGAAAAATGCCTCCAAGGGATGCCAGATCATGCCAGTGATGCCAGAGTTATTTCCTGAAAATTATAAGCCAGAAAACAATACTGGCTTTGAGCACGGATTCAAACATTTGGGCCATGTTGGGTCACTCAATGCACCGACTGTTTTGAACTTGCTTTTCTTGGGCCTGGTTGGATTGTTTTTTTGGCTTCATGGTTTCGCTCCGGCGTCCTCGTCGAAATTCCTTCAGCAAAAGCGCTGCCATGACTGGAGGGCTGTGTCCGAAGCCCTAAGGGTGTCCCCTTGCTGGTTCCCCAAACGATCCAAGATGCACTCGAAGACTTGCAGCAGAAGGAAGCTTCACTTTAGAGGAGGGCCTTGCCTTTGTTGAATGAAACATGGATCAGCAACGATAAACAGAACGCGAGGTCCGAGGTGCCGTTTTGTCTCTTTTTGACGTCAGTGACGTCCTCGACTCCGGTCTTCGGACGTGGTGGGACGCCCCAAGTCAGGCACCTTGCGAGTGAAGCTGGATATCTTCGACCCTGACAGTCCCAATCTTACACTGCCCGTCTATATGCGCCCAGCCACGGAGCAGCCGGCGCCCAAAGGAGTGGCCCGGCCACGAAAAAGAGAGGTTCCAAATGGAGCTAGGGGGGGCTACAGCCTTGCTTCAAGGCTGCTGTAAATGGTTTATTTTCTGAATGGATCCACTAGCAGTCTGAACATCATTTTTGTGGACCTTTTGCTATCGACTGTGAGTGGGGGATAACCAAGGGTAGATCAGATCGGTAGATACATATGATTTCCTTCGAATATCTAGGTGGAGGACTGCTTTTCAACTGATATGATCATCCATGCCAGTGCCCATTGCGCTCCCAGATCCTTTTGATGCACTGTGGTGGGCCTGGTTCCACTAGAGACTGTGTCTACTACACGGACGGCCCACATTTGGAGGTGCTGTCGGCGGAGCGGCCTTTCTGAATGCAGCATCAAACATGGAATGCGTGACTGTGTGCGGTCCCAAAGATATAAAGCTGACTGCATAGTCGTCATGATGTTTGATTGATTTCTATATAGACCTTTTCCTTAACCATCCTATGTCATTATAATAGAGGCGGAGTCTTTCGGGTGAGGTTCTCTGTGGCCTTTGTGCAGGGTGCTTTCACCGCTCTCCGCCAGTGACTCGAAAGACGAAGACGAGTAGAGGAATCACCTTGTTCCACAGGGCCACCACCTTGTCTCCCCGGGTGTGTTTGCGCAGCCCTGGGCTGCCTGTTTCTGTTGGGAATTGTCCGTGTTAATCCTAAAATTATCCAAAGTCAAAGAAGCACATACATACAGCATAAAATTACTTGATATCAGAAGGTTGATCCTCACAATCCACATTCTGCCGCAGGGCTATGACGTTTTTGCCATCACCCAGCGTGGCATGGAGGGCACTACGCCGTCCTTAAACTGTGACAACTCCAAGCTGCCTGAGACATGTCCTCCTGAGGGCTGCCAGGCCTGGTTTTCCGGCGCATGACGGCCTGCATCCCATGATGTCCCATGAGCATTCGTTTAGAGCCAGAGGGGCTACAGTCGTGCTACTCGAAACTGCAGATGGAAAGGGTTCCCCTCGTGCTTGATCATTGGGTTGCTAGTGTTGAAACATGTTCAAACCGTACCGTATGTGTTTTTTGGAGGTGGGGTCTGTCTAGACTTTGGGAAAGCAATGGGATTCCCACAGGTTGGGCTCTCGAGAACTATTGCGTAGGAGAGCTCGCTCGTGAAGAGGTCATGCAAAGACTTGGCAACAGAATTTTGAGAAGAAACATCCAGGAACCTGAGCTATCCCCATAAGCAATATGGAGGTGGCAAAGTTTCAAAACCATCGTTGCTTGGGTAGCTTTGGGAGCTATTTGAGGTTCTTTCGCGTTGTTCAGATTTCACTGTCCATGAAGAGTATCCTCGTGCAAGCTATCTTGCCTACATGTCTAGAACTGCGCAAATATGGCTTTGTCAAGAATTCCCACAGTCTTAGAGTGGAATAGTTGTTTTTGTCGAATTCGAATGGACATGGAGGATCATGGAGGAACTCAAGCAACACTGCAAAAATGTTCAGTCATTGTGGGTCCCATGTGGGGTGGTGAACACGAAAACATATCTTCAGACCCAATCCAAGCAAACTCTCATCCCATCCTATCCTAAATCTCCTTGCATCAGAAGCTTTTTTACACAATTTCCTTGCTATTGCTGGTCGGTCGGTGTTTCCTGCCACTGCCCAAACAATGGAAGTCATACAATTTGACATTGGCCCACCATTCTATGCCACATCAATGCAATGGCCAGTGTTGAACCCAATTTTGGGTGTGAAACTGTGCAGTACTTATAGAGAGTGCCCAGGTCCCAAAGAGTAAGTGGCAAGTGAACAACAGCGAATACTCCAAGCATTGAACATGCCCGGTCTTAGACGACGTATTATTTTTGCAGTCTTAGATATTCTGGCTTGAGCAGAAACAATAAGCTACTAGGAACAAGTGCATCGCTTCTAGTAACAAGTGCCTTACTAGTAGTAACAAGAAGCTAGTAGAAACAAAATATAAATAGTCTTAGGTTTGTCAACCGTCCGATGTCCCCAGAACTCGCTCTCGGGCGGCTCTCGGGCGTGAGGTGAGCGACTTCACTGATTGCCCGTGTGCCCTCCTGGACGGCACACCTCAGCTGGGGGGAGATTTGGGCCGATTTGGATCCAGCGACTCGGTTGGAGGGACCAGACTTGGTTTTTTGTTGGCTAGAGTGCCAGTAGTTGGTGAATGGGGTGTATAGATGAGGTAAATATAATGACAAAACATATATACATATATTATATAAATATATATGATATGTCTATTATCAATATTGTACTAGTTACATAAGACTTTTGGTCACCCACGGTCTCCCCTTTGGATTTGCCCCACCATTTTTGGGTTGATATTTGTATATATTGAATTGAACCTTGATACTGAGACTACTTGATGACTGCTTTTCCTCCATGTGCGTTCTAGCAACTTGGTGCTTCTTGTACCGCAGATTTCTGAGGCCAATGAAAGCCAAGTCTTGAATCTCTTCAACAAGAGACAGGCCTGGGGGCCACGCTGTGCTGCCTCAGAGAAGTTCCAACTGCGAGGAAGAGGTGGAAAGATGTCGCCTGGCTCGGCGCTTGGAAGCGCGAGGGTGTGAGATGAACCAGAAACAAGCGAGAAGGGGAAGTAAGTGAGTGAATGACAAGTCTCTTGTGAAAGAGAGTGCCTGATGAACCGTGAGTGACTCAGATTGCATGGGAATAAGCACCAAGAGACTTACTGATCATGCATCTCAGCAAAGTACCCTCTAGCACAAAGCTGGCCGATTTCTTGAGGAGTCTTGATTGTTCTGACACCGGTCAATTTTATGCTTAGCTAGTACAGGACCACGACAGGTCTCTCTCAAGGCCTGTCATGAAATTGAACCGATCGGTGGGTACAATGGATCGGGTGCCATGCATTCCGAATTCGGACAGGAGACGATCTCATGCACCGCCTTGGTAACCTCGATTGACTTTCAGGTCCATCGATGTCCATCGTTCATCCAGGTCCATCGATGGTCCTGACCCGGAAGTTGTTTTCGGGTGCTGATTCAGGGGGGCTGTCGGCTGTAGTTCCCTAGAGAGCGACGTTGAGGACTGCAGCCCAAAAGCCTCCCAAGAAACGTCCTGAGACGTGCTGAACTACGTCCTGAGGTACAATTTTCTAAACTACGTTGGCACTCAGTTTTTGGTATATGATTTGGATGAGATGAGGAAGGCGGTCGGGGCTGAGAACTTGAGCATCTATGGATACAGCTATGGTGCCTGAGACTTGCAATATTGTGTGCGGGTTGTTCTTGCAGACAGATACCATATTCGTAGATCACTCATCTATCAATTGCAATTAGGGTTACAGCCCACCAAAAGTACTTCCTGGACAAGCTCGGCACAGTTGTTGTCTTGACGGACGCCGATCGCACGCACCTGGTCACCTCCACTACGCTTGCCTCTTCCTTTGGACCGCACAGGGACCTACGTGGGCGGCGTCTACGCTTCGGTCTTCAGCCAATCCACCGGGCGTGTTGTCCTGGATGGCGATATGGAGGCCTCACCCCGAAAGGATGCCCAGTCCACTGGGGACGCCGTGGCCAACGATGCTTTGGTGGAGAGGATGGTTGAGTGGGGAAATGGTGCCGTGACGGGACAAGGAAATGGGTTTAAGACGGTTTGAGGGTCTAGAGTCTAGAGAGCTTGGAAATTTGATGAAATTTGTTTTGTGCAGCAGGTGACGTGGGTCTGATTTGAAGATTTTGCTGCTGACTTGAGTTGGGCAAAGATGTCAAAAGCGAACTCGAGTAGGTTTGTTGTGGTTCCCAGTTTTGGGGGGGCATGAGCAACCTGTGATGGAGATCTTGACCTTTTCTTCCAATCCAGTTGGGGAGTTTGCATTGTGAGGGAAGAAGCTTTCGATGGAGGGTTGATTAATATACCGCAGTTGGAATTGTCTCCAAGTGGCAACACTGAGCTTATATTAGAGCCACCAATGCATCAATGTTTGTGTGCATTTGAAGGGGTGGTTGAATGGTTTGAGGGATCTGATGAGAACAACGTGCCGTTTGGAGTGCATCCTTCCAATGGTGTGTTCACAGCTTCCAGATTCCAGATTCCAGGGTATCAGGAAATGCCACAGCAGTTTTGTTCGACAAACAGGGATTTCTTACTAGAGCTATGGAGTCCAGGAAGGAGGCGAAACAACCAAACAAAGACCAAGTGGGATGCAACAAGCGCTGTATGTAAAGTTTGAATTTGTATAGTCTGACTCTGACGTGTGAATACAAGCTGAATACAGAATCCAAGATGCAGCTCAAGTCAGCCAGTTTTAGCTGTCTCATGGTGAACCAAAATATATCTCAGAGACTCATGGCAATGAGAGGATATTGTTGTTCTGTTCGGTAAAGTGACACCGATATAGTCTACTGCACCTCGGTCTGAATTTCGGGCTTTTGTGCCGAGGACAAGTTCGTCGCGTATTTGCTGAACACTTGCCAGGAATCTGGGGAGCATGCTTTGTATGTGTTTGTGTTGTTTGTCTACAGGGTGTTGCCCCCCGTAAACTTTGCCACGGTGCTCCATCAAACCCATCAAATTCCATGAAACCCAAAGTCCGACTATCTGATACTCAAAGTCCGACGCAGGGAAAAACCTTTCTTTGGTTTCGGATCTTTTGAAGTCCTTTCCTGTTTCATCCGAGGCGAAAGCCTCAGAATGTTCACTGAAGGATCCTCATGTGACCTATGCAAAGCTCGTGCAGCGCGCGCGAGCTGGAAAGCTAACGGCTCCCACTGAATCGGGGATGGACTTCCCGTTGTCGGTGGGGCTTTTGATGGCCTACCTACAAGCAGAGTCTCCTGGCGTCGGCGGGGGATTGTCAACCATGAGACAACAACAATGACATTGATTGAGGCAAAGATGAGCAAAGGTTTTAGACATGAAGCAAAATGGATTGGTCTAGAAATTGAGGTCTGTATCCAATTCCGGGCGTCACTTCGCCCGAGCCTTGCAAACCCTTGCGGCACTGGCTGGCAACGATGTTGGAGAGCGAGAAAAAGCAGTGGCCTTCATTCTGGAGTCTTGGCCATTAGCGTCTTCAGCGGAAGCTTGAACCAGTCTAACAACGAGGGCAATTCCGGACAAAGAGGCGTGGTGAATAGGGACCAGTTCATTGGTGGTCATAAACTGGCCCGTTTGTGGCTCATAAGTTCTAGGTTTGCAAGGCTCTTGGCTACCCATCCAGTTCAGCAGAAGATTGAATTGTCTCTTGCGAAGAAAGCGGAAGAAGTTGAATTCACATTTTTTGCATGTTTTGGCTTTGAACGTGACAAATGGGATACAGATACATACAGTATGGGCTTGTCACTATCTCTGGACTCGCCAACCCTGTCATCTTGCGAGCACACAAAAGGGTAAATATTGGTGATGAGAAGCTAGACTAGTCCTTTCACGTTGAGACACATGTGCACCCAAATCGGGCTATTGAATCTATTGATGAAACCTTTTCAGTCCTTGCAGCGGCCCAGGACGGCTTTTGCTATGTCAAGAGGGTGGCCACCTGGTCGAGATATGACATTTGCATTGGGCCAGGCCAGGGCTCTCAAACAACCTATCAAAATCTATCAAACAAAAACATGTCCAACACGCCGACGTGTTCACAGCACAGGCCACACCAACGAGTATGAGTCTGCTCCGGGGATTTCTTTTGCTGATCCCTATTTGGAGAAATGTGCAGTGTGGGGCTTGGACCTGGCTGGCTACTACGATGTCTCGAATTTGATGCATCAGCCGCCTGGTGAGACAAATCGAATCATTGCCTGGATGTTCTTAATGTTCCCCAGTAGCGATGCACCTTGTTACTAGTAGCTTCTAGCTTCTAGCTACTAGTAGTAATGCTCTGATTACTAGTAGCGATGCCCTTGTTTCTAACTAGTAGCTAAAGGTCTCTAGAGCTAGGATTCTCAGATATTCTGAGCTATTTGAAGCACCAGAGGTGCAAGTGAACTCAGCGAGTTGAAGATTCTTCCCCCGTCTTCGCCCAAGGTGGACAGTCGAAAAGATCTCAAGGCTGGAGTCAAAATAACGTTTAATTTTGTCAAGTTGAGTCATTGTTTCCTTTATTTTTTTTTGGAGCGGCGCTGCACAAGCAGCTGGGCATGCGTTTGAATCCCAATTCTCTCAGAATCACAGGATCAGACAAGCGCAATTGCTGTGCGCAAGAAAGAGCGCACGCCTATGGATAGCTACTTGCAGATTTTCGTTGTTCGGAACCACGTTTCAATTGTGGTCCTTTGTTTTCGTATCCTTTCTGCTTCGTCCAAGAAGGTGCCACCTTTCAAATTTGTTGTTGTTTTTGCTTTTATAGTTAATCCTCTCACATCAACGACAAACAAGCACAGTCGTTGAATTTATTTGGATATGCCCCGAACTTGGTAAACACCTGAACCGATTCAACATATAAGAACGGCTCTCCATGGTCTTTGTTTACTTTGTGCTCACAAGAAACTTGGGCACTTCTTGGGATTCCATCATATTCCGGTGCTTATATAATCTTGAAACGATGATGATCGTTGCAATAGCTTGGGTAATGGGTGTTTTTTACATCACAAATTTGCAGATTTCACTGCTGGGCTCTATATGACTTGAGACTGTAGACTACTTCGCATTGTTCTGCATGTTGGCATCGTTTAAGGGGTGCCTGCCCAATAAGTGAACATCCCTTTCAGTTTCCATTCATGTGCATGCTGGTCAGTTGAACTTCTTTGATCACGAACGGATCCTTACCACAATGTCTAGGGAGATGTTGCTTCGCATATAGTGACGTAGATCATTATAGAACACGGCATACATGCATACGTTTGATCCATCGTTCACCGGTTTTGCTTCTTTGTTTCTTGTTCGCAGGGGTGATGCTGGTTTGGCGGCGGTGGTGGGTGACATGGCCGGCTATTTCCTGTGGCCTCTGAAAGCCACGCCCACTGCACCCATGGGGAGTGCTATCGTGACGCTTGTTGTGAGTCAGGGTGGGACAGGTCCAGTCAATCGCGTACGTGCGAGACCTTTTGTTGAAGGGACCACCCAAATGATATCTTGTTTGAATGCCGTGGCATTCAAATTTCAACATGATTGATTAGTTTTCAATATATGATGCATGCTCCCAAATGCTCGTGGAACCTGTTCAACACTGCGGACACCTCACGATCTTTTGACACATGACATCAGTTTTTTGCGCCAACTATTGTCCAAGAATATGTTTGTTGAATATTGCTAGCAGAGCTAACACTCAGTGCTGGACATGACGAAGCTTTGCTGCCAGTTCTAAGTTTTGGCGTCAGGGAGTGATTGTGCATTAGGCTTTTGATCAGTACACCGGGGGTCAGTAGTGACACACCCTCCGTTGTCTAATGTTGTCAGTTGTTGGCAAGAGACAAGCAGTTTAGCTGGATTGCCCACATTATTTGAGCGTTATGAGGATATCTTTGGCAACAGATAATGAAAAGGACCGACCAATGAGAGGGTAATACAGTCTAAGAAAATGAGAGCTCCTCCAATCAACTCCATTGGGTTGGGTGGATGTGCGATGTGAACATTGATCTAATTCTTGGGAATGATGCAAGAAACCAGCTTCTTGTGCACGTCTATGGCATATGATGGCATGGTTCGTGATTCGGTCAGTTGCACAATCCCTTCTGAGGCGTCCTTTGATTGTTGGAAATTTGTTTGATTCGGCGACGAGCTACAGCTGGGCACAGGCGAACACACCCGTTGGAGCCGCAGATCTCGAGCATGGCACCATCCACTTGCATTTGATGTTTGCTGAATTTTGCTTGTTGAATGATCGAACATGGAATCACGGGAGACACCCACTGCAAACGTGGAGAAGAAAGTCTGAAACTGCCGAGGAAGGATTCTCCCTCCCTCCCTGCCTGCCTGCCGTAAGATCTTTGCCTTAAACATGCCCAGGTTTGCTGCTGATACTTGTGTCCCTTTGTTTAACAATTTAAAAGACGACGGCAGGCTACAGCAGAGGTTCCCCATGGACGCCCATGGACCTCTCCTCCATGTTCACAAACGTGCACCAGGATATGAAGAAGGCCTTTCCGGATGGATCCATCATCACATGGCAGGCTTGGATGTTGTCCAAACATTGCTTTGCTTGGGTGCCAAAGTGAGATGTGCAAGACAATTAATGTAAATGAAATTCTTTCACAGCAGGTGAAATTGGTAACGAGAGAGTCCCAAATGTGTGGGAAAGATATGATTTGGAGACCTCCTGAGTCAGTCAGTACGCAGAGGTGCTCAAGGTCAAAGATGAATCAACAAAACATAAATTGAGTGGCCCAGCATGGGTTCTCTTTGTGCGCAAGTTTGAGCCCAGCATGGGTGTCTCTTCAGTAATGATCATAGTCAGTACTGTAATTATTATCTCATGATCTCTAAACAAGGATCTTCAGGTCCCATCGAGAAAATTCCGTTTGGCCTTTTGACGCTGTTGACGCTGCGGTGGTGTCACCGAAAGCGTTGGGACCCAGGGCCTGGGCCACACCTTCCCAACCTATGCGACCGACTACAACCGACAAGCCATTGCACACTGTTGGAGTCACATCGAAGACTATTTGCAGAATGGCACCATGCCAATCAATGGCCTGCTATGTTGGCAGAAGGAAGACCCCAAAGTTGGTTGAGAATTGGCCCCAGAGGCAGTGATTGCACACTTCCTTTGAGTTCTTGGGACAGATCATCCACAGCCGCAAAGCATGGATGTGGTGTTTGATGCACAAGAGTAGAAAAAGGCTTGACGGGTTTTGTGCATCGCCTGCCTCTGTCCAGTGGTGGCCCACCCTTTGCAAACAAAAACACTTTTCTTTTTTTGTGGCAGATGTTGGGCACCAAACCCCGATGGACTCCAGTCGTCCTCCGGGTGTGGCAAACCTGCAGTCTTTGAAAGGCCACCGCGTCCTGATTTGGCATAGGTTGTACAAGTTTTGTTTATAATTTGTACAAAGTTATATAATTACGCTAGTTGGGTCACACTGAACTCGATGGCAACAGAGCTCCCGAACTATGGGCTGCCCCCCCCATTAGTGGCCTATTTTGGATATCCTCCCTGTGGGCATACAATCCCTAGCAATTGCAAAGAGTTTCCGTACCAGTCGCTTTTATTTGTTGTAGTTTGTAGTTTTTCTTTAGCATGCCACCTGCAACGATATCGAGGGTGGTTTGATGGGCCGGCAGTTGCAGCAAGGTCCGTTACGAGATCGCGATGGAAAGCTTGAGGCCTTGCTGAGGAATTGAAGCTTGATGTTTCAGGATTCTGAATCAGACAAGCAATGGCATTGGAGAGGGTGTAAATCTTCAGACTAAGCACTTCATCAATCAATCCATCCTTTGGGCATGTTCATTGAGATGACCATGGCACTGAGTGGACTTTTTCTTTCATGATTGACTAGGTGGGCAGTTGAAGTTTGAGCCATCAATGAATCAATATCCCAGGCGCCGGAGATCCGAAGGTCTGCGATGGAGGAAGAAGTCTCGAAGTGACTATGCGAGGTTCCCAGTGGATTTTGGATCACAAAACCTCAGATGAGATGATGAGATGATCAGATCAGCATGTGACGATTGTGCAAAAGAGAAACAACGGTATGCAAAGATGAGGTATCCATACCTTTGGTGGCGGACCTGATTCTAGCATCTTCTATATAGCGCGCAAGATGTTCTTTTTGTTGGGATGTGTGATTCTGGACTGCCCTCACGTTCAGTATGTTTTCAAATGTAGACCGGCGCCAAGTATGCAGCGGCTTTGGCGCAGAAGGACCTTCACTACTGAAAGTCAAGTTTTGGGGGGAATTCCTCGTTTGCGTGTCATTTCGACAACGTGCAAGTGCGCGCTGAGTGACCTTATGTCCTCCCTTCTTGGTGCCTAAGTACTTTTCGTTTTCGTGAAGCACAAACAGGCCAGCGAGAGAAGTGGAGAGATGTGGAGAGAACCTGATTCTTTCCACACCACAACTGCCAAGGCCGGGATCAATCACATCCACCACATTTTTTTCACGCGGAACGTGCCGTGGTGTGGACATAAAATGGGAGGAGTGTCAGAGACCTGGGAACTGGGCAGTTGGAGCAAGCTTAGCCTTCTTCTTGAGTAGCCTCATATTAATTAGTTTCTTTGTTTGGAATGGCACAGGTCTATTGAGTCTTGCTCTTGGATTACGCACTTCAAATCAGACTCGGAGTCGACCGCTTCAATAGTACATTTGAGAAGCTATGGATGTTTTGCTCCATTGAACCGACAAGACCATGGTGAATCAATGTGAATCATACTCGTGTGACGGTGTAGATGGATTAGTAGCTTCTTGTTACTACAGTAGTAGTAACGCACTTGTTACTAGTAGCGATGCACTTTGTCTCGTCTTTGTCACCCGTTGAGGGGCTGTATTGGTCTCCGGATGCTGGGCTGCCGTCTTTGACTACACAAGCTGTCGGCTCCGAGCTGCTCAGGAAGCGCTACAAGCAAGACCTTCGTTTATGGCCGGAACCTTATCAGGCGGAGTCGTGGAGTCCCATTGGTTTCCAGATTTAGCCACCAAAGTGAAGAATTGATTCATTGATGTCCTTGGAGTTCCCAGCATTTGGATCTCATCCCTTTTGGGCAGCCATTGGTCCATTGACTTGACAGAAGATCGTTTTGAGGAGGGAACGTTCGTTCATGGATGGATGGATGGATGGATGGATGGATGGAGTTTTTGTCTGGCCTCAAAACAGGTACTGTATGGTTGAATGCTCCAAAACACCACTTGTACTATATCAAGATGTGAGAGAGGAAGGGTTTAGCTTGGAGCCATGACAATTCACACTCCCTTTGCTGAGGTATCAGCATTTGGACTTTTGCTTAAGAAGTGGCCTCTCTGGCCATTTCCGAGTGTTTGTGAGAGCACCTCTTCAGCCCAAGCCCACTCGGGTTGATGCATCAAGGGTGATTCATCAAAGAGTTTCCGCTCCGTTGAAACGCAATGATACAGAAAGGCAGCAACATGTGCGTACATGCGGGCCCATGTTTCAGCTGACTGCATGCGGCGCAAGACCACCAAAGCTGAAAGCTTCGATCATGTGATTAGAAAGTTCGGTGAAGAGACGTGTCCTTCAGAAGCGGCTTTTTGTTCAGGTCTGTATCACTGCTTTTCGTGACACATTGTTTCCAAATCTGAATGCTATGGACAACCAGGGCAATCTATAACAAAAACCCAGCAGGGCGACATGGTTTCCCATCAGCCAGGGAGCTCCAACGTTCTCACACGAGTCCTGATGAAAGCAGTCAAGCCAGGAGCTCAGGCAAAGATCTTGGATGTTGCGAAGCAACTTCCAACGCCAATCATGGATACAGAGCCAGAGGGATACTAAGAGTGATGCCACTAGGGATCGTCAATAAATGTAGGCGTGCTATCCACGGCCATGACCTCCAGTGAACATCCTACAGGTGAAAGACTAGCCGCCAGCTAGCCTATTGACCTATCACACGTTCGGCTGTTTTACCGAAAGCCAAATCGGGATGCAATCCTTTCAATCCTTTGGCAAGCCAAGGATCTCTTCAAGTTCTCTTTCCTGTGATCACGAAAGCTAGCGTCAGCTAGCTGGAGTCACTCTTGCTTTAGAAAGTTTATTGCTGTGAGATGGAATGCCCTACCCTGGGAATGATTCATGCGTAGGGACGTCTCAATGCAACATCGTCTCATTCTTCAACCCTTTGGTTGGACAGGAAGGATGCTTATGAGATCTTATGAGAACCCATGCTAGCTGCAGCTTTCGTCACCAACCCCCGGCCTCAAGTTTCCAACATTCTTTGACCTACGCAAAACCCACACATCCCCAGCCGTTGAAGCTTTGGTCGCCCAGGTACCATCCCCGGCAGGTCTCCTTGTGGCTGTTGGCCGCCGATCGGGAGCTTCAGCAAGGCTGTTGGCCCCTTTCGCAACAGGAAGAGTGAAAGGACATTGACTTTTGGTTACTGTACTTCTGGGATCCCAGCATCAGGATTTCAACAGAGACAATGTCCTAGAACCGTTGATGAAATTGGCTAAATGTTTAATCAGGGGTGCCTTTGACATCGGGACCTTCTCCATGAGTTACGGTTTAGCTGTTGGGGCCCGGGGTCGGTTTGAGGTTGAGCCCTGGCGGTTCCGGATCGATGTTTCGTTGGTGGTGCACCGCAGATTTCGCCGGGTGATCAGACTCACCATGGGACATCAGACATCATGCAACTCAAGTGTCACGGATTGTCGACTGGATCAGAATATTGTTTTTTCTTTAATGTTTCTCACCCTTTGAGTGCTGTAAAGAGGAACCCTAAGCGAAGGGTCTTTGGTTTGGAACGCGTCCGGACGCTTTTCCGAGAAGCGACCGCAGCGGAGGCCACGTGGACGCTGCTCGGAAGCTGCTCATGCGGGGCTTGCGATGTCTTCCGACCTCGGTCCCTGGGCGACGTGTGACGCGGTGCGAGGAGGGAGGACCTGGGAGTTTCAGCCTTCACCCAGTTTGGGAGCCCCAAAACGCTCATGAAACTGGCTGGAGGCCATCGCTAGTAGGTTGGAGGCCATTTGCTATCAGAAACAAAGAAACATGAACAGGAAGAACGGTCTAACACAATAACCCAACCACATGGTTCTGATGAGTCCATCACCTGCCACTATATATTCGTCATGCCATTGGGTGTTGATGTACCAAAGCAATTCTCAGGAAAAGTTTGATATCAGCTCTTATGATTAGCTAGTAACAAGAACGCTACTAGGGGCTCCTGGCCATACTACTGGGAGCAAGGACGCTACTAGGGGCTCCCACTCACTGAGAGTCCGTGACGTCTTCGCGACAGGGAGGGAAGGGACGCCTTCGCGTCCAGGCAAAGCTCCTGGGGGAGTTCTTGCGACTGGAGGTGGGTGTTGCGGGACAGCTCTTGAGCGTCCAAGACATGGAAGATGAGGCGCTGGGCGGCCGGGGAAGGGTGCCCTGATGGCGAAGGGCCTGAGGCGCTGGGCAAAGTAGGTTTTTGGTTTTCCGCAAGGTTTCTCCTGCTTTCCAGTGAAAGAAGTGGGGATGTGGAAGAAGGCATGGCTTCGTTCAAGTTCCTACTTTGGCATCAAGGGTGTTCCTTTCAACATGTCTCAAACATCCGTTGATCTAGAATTGTCAAGTTTTCTTCTGACAGACTCTTGCTCAAGATTGCTCAAGTCATAATAGTCATATCACACAAGCCAGCAGCCTTACCTTGACTCATTGGCACCAAATAGATCGAACTGGATGAACATCGATGAACACGGCGCAACGACGAGGTGAATGCCCAACCAATCGTGTCCTACTGCCTTAATTTGAAGCATGTTCAATAACTCAAAATCAACCAAATGAAAAAAACGGTGCCTTCAGGTTTGGTGACCTAAAATGATCGAGATGCCTCCTGCAAATCACTTGAACTGGATCTCTGTTGAGGTTCTGCCTCTCGCCCATCGCCCATCATGTCCTGATTTGGAGGTCAAAGTCGAGCAGAAAGACGTTTGGGGCCCGACGAAGCTGGTCTTCAAGAAGGGCTTGGCGAAGTTGGAAGGCCGAAGAGATGGGTGAACCACGTCATTCTAATAGCTTTTTGTTACTACAAGTAAGGCCAGGAGCCCCTAGTAGCTTCTTGTAACTACTAGTAAGG